TTTTAGCAAAACTGTCCTAATAATTATTTTAATAGTCTAACATCAATTTCAAATCAGTGTAATCAGTTAAATTTTTAGATATTTTAGCAAAACTGTCCTATTTAATCATTTTGATGGTCCAACAAAATTATTTTGAAATCAGTATATATTCAATTAAATTTCTAAATACTTTATCATATCCGTTCTTTTCATTTGCAAGAATCTTTATCACAAGCATGTTTGTCGGTAAACAATCTCGAGTCGTTCTGGCAATTCTTATCGCAAGAGCACGTTGTCGTGTTAACGTTATCGGGAGCCAGCTGTTGCAAAAGGTTCCCGCTGATTCATGTTGGATCCGCGATATTTATGTACGAAAATCAGTGTCGCGGGCACCGGGCGGTGTGACGTCGATACGACGCGCGGCGGCGCGTTCGATTCCGCGAATCGCTCGTAAATTTTTCGCACGGACGTTCGTTAAAGGAAACCCGAGAAGTTCATGAGAGACAGGGAAAGGGAAAGAGAAAGAAAGAGGAACGAAAGAAAGAAAATGCCGTACTCTGTACGAGAGGAGCGGACAAAAGATAAATTCGAGACCGATGACCTTTCTCTCTCGAGGGAGAGAAGACACACGCAAGAGAGAACGAGAGAAAGAGAGGAGAGGAGAAACGGAAGGAAAAGAGGGAAGAGAGTAATGAGACGAGAGAGCGTATCAGAGGCGAGAGAGAGGAAAGAAAAGAATATAAGAGCTGAGACGAGAGGAAAGAGGGTTCGGGAAGACGCCGTTAGTCGATAAACAATCATCGAGCGCTCGATGATTGTTTAACATTCCGTTTCTTCGAGAGGGAAGAGAGAAAAAGAAGGAATAACGCGCTTCGGGAATCACCTGGTGCGGCAGCGATCGACCGGCAGTGCCAGTTTTCAAACTCGTTTTCTCTCCTCTCCTTTTTCCTCCCTTCGTCCACGTCGTCGTCGTCGTCGTCGTCGTCGTCGTCGTCGTCGCCGTCGCCGTCGCTGTCGTCGTCTCGTGCCTCCGCTCTTACGCGCTCGCCGTGATTCCCCTACTCTTTGTCCACCCTTCACGCGATTCTCCGCGCGAACGCGGCCCGGCCTGTGTCGGTCCTTCCTCCGCGAGAAGATTCGCGCGAGGTAGACCGCGCGGTGAGGAGTACGGTATTTGCGAAGGGCTGACCAGCCGGGGAGAATAGTACCGACCGTAGGATGACAGCTCGCGCACAAGTAGGTCAGGTACCGGAGCAGAGTGAGAGTGAGGGAGGGAAAGGGGGGGGGGGGGGGGGGGGGGGGGGGGGGG